TTAAGAACTGGGCACTCGACAGAAGACGCTGCTCACTGCCTAGTCGAGAGCAGAAGAAAAGCTTCGGCAACACAGGAGGGAGGGCACATAAAGCAGCCACAAGTTGCTGCAGGACACGAGCACCGACACCTGGCTGACGTGCAGGTGAGAGCTTGACGACGCGATCCAATTTCCCACGTACGTCTTCACTCAACGTCTTGAGCACTTGTAGACTCCACAGACAAGAGCCCCATTTGGTTGGAAAGTCGATGGAGTTTGACGATCGTAGCAACAAGAAGCCGTCGACTGCCGAAGCCAGTAAGACACACGCGTTGGCGTGAGCTTGAGGCGCGTCCAAGTCTCGCTCATCGGCACCGAGCAGCAGACTACGTAGCACGTCGAACTTGTGTGCTAGAGTACGTAATTGCTTACTCAATTGTCCTTCTCGACCCACAGGATTACCCGGAGAATTGGTGTATGCAGCCTCACCTGCAAGCTGCTGTGTACTCTGTACAAGTTGTAGCCATTCCAGACGGAGAGTAAGCAAGTGGAGCTGGAGATCGAAGCGGAAACTGGACGTACGTGCCGCCTGTAAGTACATCCTCGCACGAGCTACAGAGTGCAGACTCTGTAGATGCACGGACCGATCGGTTGTAATACGAGCCTCGGCTTCACACAGCGTCAGTAGAGCGTGCAACCAGCCACCAAAGCACTCACTATCCGTCTTTGCTGCGACGATCTCCAGCAACTGAGAAGCCAAAGTGAACCGTCCTCGTAGCATTGCTAGCTTGGCCATCTCGTATCGCTCTGCGTGACTCTCGTAGAGCGCAGAGTTACGCAGTTGCCGCTCGAAATCCGAGATTGTTTGGCTTATTTCCTTGTCTCCGTCTGCTTTGAGCATCAGCTCTTGCGTCCAGAGTAAGAACGTGGCAGCTACCGCCCGTAAGTGTGCTGCATCTGTGCGGCTGATAGCGGATAGCTCCTTGAGTAACATGGGCAGCTCTTGGCGGATGACATCGACACTTGGCGCTTGGAATTGAGCTCCTAGAACCTTGAAGAGGGACGTTCTACGGGCCTTGATGACACTATTATCCAGACTGCTATCAGCGGGGATCGACAGCAACTCGATTAAACGTGTAGCCACGTAAGCTGCGAGTAACTCAGGGAAGTCGTGAGTGAGTTGAACTATCGCAGCCAGAGTAAAGTTCCACGTGCTCTTGGCTGCGACGGGGGCTCGTGGGTGCAGCAAGAGCAGCAATTCGTCCACACTGCGCTCTGTTTCTTCAGCTGCAAGTTTCTGACGAGCGATATTGGCGAGGATAGAGGTGTAAACCTCTCCAAATCGCTCGTTCAAAGCAACAGCAAGTAGCTTCTTGGCCACTTTCAGTAGAGCCTTCGCCTTCTCACCAGCCTCTTGCTTCGTCGACCACTTCTCAAGCACAAGCAGAGCTGACAACGTGATGCGCATTATCGGTCTACTCCGACTGGCAACTCGTCCAAAAACACCTTCTAGAAGACAAGTTAACTGTTCGTTCCCCTCGCTTCCCTTGGTAACGAGCTGCTGCGTCACTAGCAGCGCAAAATTCCGTACAATTGCACGAGGGTCTTGATCCAGTACATGACACAGCAGTTGTCCGTGCATCTCCAGTAGAACACCAGGATACGCAGCAGTCAGCGCTGTCATCGCTCGCAAACTCGCCACTGCGCTCTTGTCGTCTGCGAGTCTTTCGTACAGCTCCGCACAGCGCGTCCAGGCCTGCTGCGCCTCTGTCGAGTCCGTCACTGCGTCTGCCAACAAGCAGCATGTCGACGACGTCTCGGTCTCTGGAGTTAGCGTCAGCACGTCCTTCTTGAAGGAAGACGAGAGTGGTAGAATGGCACTTGCGGCTTCAATTGCAGCGCTGCGTTCATCGTGGTCAGCAGCAGAAATCCCCTTGATAACCTGCTGCTGCACTGTCGTGTCGTGGATAAGGAGGGAGGGCATGGTGGCCAGCATCTGGAGAGTTAGCGTCCGTGTTGTGACACTGGTAGGGTGCGTTAACGGCCCCATGAGATGGGTCAGTAGCTGTAATAGCGATGTTAGTACTCGTTCTACCTTTTGGTGTTTCTTGTTCTACCCTAGACTACCCACCTTGTTGGGGTCGGTCACTTGTGCCACGTGGCCTTTTGCTCGTTGGAATACTCTCAGGATGGCACTTCGCACAACGTCGTTTTCACTGCGGAATATTCGAGTTAGTGTGTTCTACCGTGGAAACTACCTTGTTCTACTTTTTTTACCTTGTAGCAAAGTGTTCGGCCAATTTGGTACATACGGCAGACAGGAAGTCTGGCCACGGGAACGACTCCGGTGTGAACAGTCTTGAGTAGAACAGGAAACACTCGGCCAGAGATCCCGCCACGGCCCCGGGGTTGGTTGACTGTATTTGCAGAGCCTTCACTTGGACCTCGAGTTGGGCAAACTCGCGTAAGTGGAGGTCGGTGGCTGAGGTTTCCACGCGACGAGGGCTCAAAGCTGAGGAGAACTGGTCGTTGCGCGCTGCATGTTGTGAGTCGGCCGCCGGGTCCCCATGGAACACGCGGTAGTGCGCGTGGGGCACGGCCAGCATGTCGACTGTAAAAGTTGATCGGAGAGTGCAGTTACTAATTGGAGGTGTTTTTATCCAATAATAGAGGGTACAGTACGTAGCTGAAATAAATGACTGTTTTTGCCCAATAGCATGAGTGTAGTCATCCTCTGTAGAATCAGATTTGCCTTGGATCTAACCGTTAGGAAAGTTATCATATCTGATTCTGCTGACAAGCATGGTAGCCTGTAAACTCGAGTGTGATCCTAGAGCCTGCGGACTTTGTGGCGCTCCATCTGTAGCAGGATACTGAGCCCACGACGCTATTAACTGTCCGCAACGCGTCGGAGGACTCTCCGGCTGCGTTTAAAGTGAAGACAAAACGACCTGACAACTATTTGGTGTGTCCTCATCAAGGTTTATTGGAGCCCAACGGCACAGCGTCTATCTCGCTAGTCTTACGGCAGAAAGATTGCAATGAGTTACTGCATTTGCACCCAACAGAGCGACAAAAGATCAGTGACAAGTTCCTCGTACAGAGCATTCAAGTGGATCAAAAGATCCTACGAAAACTTCAAGAGGAGGACACCCGAAGACATGGCACTCGAGCTTCGAGGATGTGACGCAAATGGACCGACAATCGATTTCTAGTAAGCAACTCGTAAGTCGCTAAACGGACAGAGGAAGGATTGCAGCACTGAAACTTTGAGTCGACGTCGAGACAACCACGAGAACTCCATAAGCGAATGCGACGTCGACTAGTAGAAGCGCGGACGCGCCATAACTAGCGATAAGAGCCACTGCACTACGAAAAAGATACATCAGTAGTGAGGACGTGTTAGACGGGATCTTGATGATGCTGACCAACGATACCTGTCATTTGAAAGCTGATGGCGATGTAGAGCAACTTAACGATGCGGCGTGAACGCTTTGTCTTACTGAATTAAGCTACAACGGAACATCAGTTGCAAACAGGTAACAATGGACGCACAGCAAATGAGAAAAGCATTTGGAAACAACCACCCAGCCGACTGATTGGTCTTCACTTCCTATAATACCGCGACTTGGGTCACTGCAGTAGCGGCTGCGATAGTAAAAGACTTCGAAGAAAAACAATTTAATCGACGAGATGAGATGTTCAATTGCCAATGTGAGGACCTTGTCATCGTGAGTTGCAAGTGAATCTCGATGACGCAGCCAGCACTGACCCCGCCAAGGTCGTCCGTAAACGACGATATTATCTACAGCTTGGTGATGGGCCCACGGTTATCACACTTTTTTTCCGGCAAGGCATGATGACAAACGACCGCAAAGTTGGATAATTCACATCCGGTAATCAGTGTTTAATTGCAACCAAGTAGAAGAGTTATCATCGGATCTGTTGGATTAAACGGTATGATCACGAACGCAGCTAAAAATTTGACCTCGCGAGTCCAGCAATCTACAGGTAGTGCCGCCCCGGCACTCAGACGACCTAGCCCCTATTAATTCTGCCTCCTACAAGCAACACCTCGCGTCCAACGCTGAAGACGAATCTCACCATTCGTCATGCCTCCACCTAGCGACAAAAGCGAGTCTGCTAACCCCAAGCGGTTGACTCGAACGCACTCAGAGCTGCGTGACCGTGTGATTTCTCACATGGAGAAGACACTGGATGAGAGCTTCCCACATACGTAAAAAAAAAATTAGATACGCTTTAAAGAAGTATCCATCGCGGTCGACGTCGTGGCCAAGGACAAAAATGACGCCAAGACGGAGCTTCCGACGTTGCTCAACGCTGTTAAGACGAGCTGCGCTCCAGTAAAAATGTCGTCAAGAAACGGTCCCTCCATAACGTCAGCAGTGTGTTCAAGCCTAATACCATGACACTTGTCCTCGGACAGCCTGGGTCAGGTAAATCTTCCTTGATGAAGTTGCTAAGCGGGCGCTTTCCCAAGGACAAGAACGTCTCTATTGGAGGTGAGGTGACGTACAGCGGAACGATGGCGGGTGAGCTTCGTAAGCGGTTGCCACACCTGGTATCGTATGTGCCTCAGCGCAACGAGCACTACGCCCTGTTGACTGCGAAGGAAACGGTTGAGTTCGCGCACGCTTGTTGCGGTGGGGATCTGACCGAGTACTGGAAGAATCAGCTTGTACATGGCACTCCAGAGGAAAATGCGGAGGCTTTGAAGGTGGTTCGAGCCATGTATCAACACTATCCGGACCTCGTGATCCAGCAGCTCGGACTCGAGAATTGCCAGAACACCGTCGTGGGAGATGAGATGTTGCGTGGTGTGTCCGGTGGCGAACGCAAGCGAGTGACGACTGGCGAGATGGAGTTCGGCAACGCATACGTCTAGATGATGGACGAGATCAGCACCGGTCTGGACAGTGCAGCGACGTTCGACATCATCGTGATGATGCTGAACGAAGGCCGCGTGATGTACTATGGTCCTGGCGAGGAAGCGTTAGGATACTTCGAGGGTCTTGGCTTCAAGCGTCCACCTCAACGTGACGTGGCTGACTTCTTGATGGATCTCGGTAACTTCAATACGAAGTTACGAGGGACGAAGTCCTCGCTATCCACAGGACTTTGCTGAGGCCTTTGAACGATCCGCATACTACACTCGAGTCAAAAAGGATCTTGATGAACCTGAGGTTGGTCTGCAGACGTGGACTCAACTGGATTTCTACCAGTTCTTTGGAGCTAGCACGTTTCTGCTTATGAAGCGAAAAATTAGTGATAAGACGTGAGATGTCGGGGCTTATCGGACGTTTGGCGATGAATGCAGTCATGGGACTACTGTACGGCTGCGTGTTCTACCAAGTGGACCCAACGGATCCACAGTTAGTGATGGGAGTCATCTTCGAGGCAGCGCTGTGTTTATCCATGATTCCAGCCATCGTTGAGGCTCGTGACGTCTTCTACAAGCAACGATGTGCCAAATTCTTGTGCGCTCTCTCGCTGTGAACCAGTACACGGAGTCAGGCTTTGACATGTTCGTGTACAATGTCGTTGACTATTGCGCCACGTACGGCATGAAGATGGGCGCTGCAGAGGTACCCTGCAAAGCATTGCTCGGAAGCAGATACAGTTCCAGAGGGAGCTCACGAAGCCACACATACACGATCGAGCCGAACACGACCACCTCCAGTATGATAGGAGGGATCTGGTTCACCGAGCTGGCCAGCACGTACGACGCCCCCGCGCCACAGAGTTGATCCAATAAATCCACATGAGATAATCCGGAATCTGGTCTTTTGTGATGGCAAATCCAGCGAACAGGACGAAGAACTTGACCGCAACACTAGCAATTGGGTTGACCACGTTAACGTTGGGTGCGTGGATGTTGGAAGTTATTGGCGCTGGTGTCGGTG